AAGCGAGTAGGCTTGGAAATGGACCTGGTTTTCAGGAGGATAAGGGAATTGAAAGTTAAGGAGACGTGATCGTTTAGTAAAGTTACCTTTGCATTTGACACAGCACGTGGCACATCGGTAGGACTGAAAACACTTCACAGGATTTACCATATATTGTTGTGACTGTTTAATTTGTCAGCAAGCAAACACCGCTGTTATATTGTTAGACTGATGCCTCCATATATCACACACTTGAGACAGCAGGATAAATAATGTCTCACCGCTCTGGTACACTAGCTGCCATATTGTGTCAGCCCTACAGACCAGCAGTGTGTAAGCTATATTGCTGGCCTGTAGGGACTTTCACTAAGAGATCAAGCAAGGCCTGTTATCTGAGCAGAAAGTCATAGTTGGACACATGCTTGAGCTTCTTCCGTCCTGCTACCGATTCCATCTTGAGCAAGGTTAGCATTGACCTGAGAGGTAAATATATGACATGGATCATAACTTGGCATGGAAAGTATCACCCAAGCCTCCTAATAGACACATATGTTGAGACACTAGGGTTAACAAAAATCTACAGAAATAAGGTGCTGGAAAATAGGCTTAGTAGAACTTTAACGAACAGACGTTAAAAACATGCAGATTGTTGTTACTACTCACCCAGACACTACCTTGAAGTACAAATGTAGATTGTTAAGATTCCACTTCAGGTCTTTTGACCGTGTGTTTTGTTATTGGCTTATATAATCTCATGGTAAGTAAAATATTGAGCTCCAGACAGAGCAATTTGAAGCCTGCAGCACACAATCCAATAACATTTTTAAAACATTCCAGTTTGAGAAAATAACTCATGCTTTGTAACAGATGTGTAAATTGGGCCCTAATGATTTATATAAGCTTTCAACATCAATGTAGATATAAAATAAGTAGCGTGGTAGAGTACAATGTATTTATTGTGGAGTCCTGTAGCTCAGTGGTTAGAGCACTCTGGGTTTGATTCCCGGCAGGGTGAAACCTTGGACAAGTGTCCTTACTCCACAGGCCTGATGATAATCCCTCAAAGAAACCAATAATAAATTGGTCATTTCAATCCACAACTGTTTGTGGGACACTGCTGTGCGCAATTGGCTGCCGCATTTCACCCACAAATATACAGTCAATTCACTTTACTGTCTATTCTGTGAAGCGCTTTGAGACGTCTAGAAGACATGAAAAGCACTATATCAAATGCAAGGATTATTATTATTATAGAACTTATTGTCAAATGGAAACCCTAGTATCACACTAAAAACATTTCCTGCTGAGGATTCCAATGTCAATTTCATTTTAATATATTTCAGACCTTATCCACACTCTTGTGAAAACTCTTATCTTTCTGCCGCCAGCCTCAACTCCAGGACCACTGCTGTCCTGACAGACTGCCTGTCGGACATCAAGTTCTGGATGAGGGCAAACTTCCCACAGTTGAATGTGAACAAGACTGAGGCCCTCCTGATTGGCTCACGCCAGCGCCTCAGCACCTCAGGCTCTGGCAGCATCAACCTTCATGGTTGCACACTTCAACTCACCAAGCCAGTCAGGAACCTCGGTGTCTTGTTCGACCCTTAACTGTCCTTTCTTCCTCACATCCATGCCATGACCCTCTCTGTCTTCTCTCACCTCCATAACATCACCCGACTCTGCCGCTACCTCACCCCTCAGGCCTCTGAACCTCTTGTTCATGCCTTCATCAGCTCTAGGCTCGACTATGCAAATGCCCTGCTTGTCGGCCTTCCCAACTTCTCCCTCCACAGGCTGCAGATAATCCAGAACTCTGCAGCCCATGTCCTCTTCCGCATCAAACTCCGTGACCCCCATCTTCCCCATTCTCACCTGATTCCATTGGCTCCCTATCCTTCAGAGGATCCAGTTCAAGATCCTGGTCCTCACCTACAAAGCCCTCCATGGCCTCGCCCCACCCTACCTCTGCGACCTCCTAATCCTCTCTAATCCGCCCGCTCCCTCCGCTCAGCCGGCTCCGCCCTGCTCCATGTCCCCCGACCCACCTGCCCCACCTTTGGCGGGAGAGCCTTCAGCCACTCTGCCCCCAACCTCTGGAATGCCATCACACAATCACTCCCCCTCGCCCCCTTCTTAGCCGCCTTCAAGTCCCGCCTCAAAACCCTCCTCTTCAACCATGCCATCGGTCACCCCCTTCCCCTCCCCTCGCTTCTCCCCACTGACCCCATCTCGGGTCTAAAATGCTGTACACTGTCCAGCGTCTTGGGATGTCCTCCCGACATGAAAGGCGCTATACAAATGTAACTTTGGTGTTGTTGTTATTGTTCAACACATTATAGGTCTGCATTCCATATTCTCACAGCCGTTTGCATGATGAAATGGTTTCTGCATCAATGGCTAGCTTTAATTTCAACGTGTCCCCTTGTTCTGGACTCTGTCCCCTTGTTGCAGATAATGTAGAAAAGTGTTGATTCCCCTCTTCAGGGAGAAAATTATAGTAAATGCATGCTTTCTTCCACATGTAAGAGAGTACATTTATACAGAAAGCACTTCCTTTGCACTGAAACGTGACAAACTCCCACGTGGATTGAAACCTCAGATGGAACTTTGACTTTACAGTCCAGGCTGATACTCCAATGCATTGTCAGAGGTGCCATCCTTCAGATGAGAAGATAAAACCAATTAGTACAATAACAACAACAAAATTACATTTAAAGAGCGCCTTTCACATCGGGAGGACGTCCCAAAGCGCTGAACAGTCAGGTGTCGGGGCCCGAGCATGGGGGAGGGGTGGTGTAGGGGTGAGGGAAGGCAGAGAGGTGGGAGGAAGACCAAACGCACGGTCGAAGAGAAAGGTCTTGAGACCGGCCTTGAAGGAGGCAAGGGAGGAAGCGAGGCGAAGGGACCATGGGATGGAGTTCCAGAGTGTGGGGGCAGAGAGGCTGAAAGCCCGGCCACCGATGGTAGGGTGAGTTGGGCAGGAGACATGGAGCAGGCGGAACCCGCTGAACGGAGAGAGCGGGCAGGTTGGTAGGTAGTTAGCAGGTCAGAGAGGTAGGAGGGGGCAAGGCCATGGATGGCTTTCAAGGTGAGTAACACCTGAACTGCATGTTCAGGAGGACTTAAAGGTCCCTTGGCATGATTCAAAANGAGAAGGGAGTTTCTCCCAGTGTCCTGCCCAACAATCCCCCAAAATAAATTCTGTGGTTCACTCCACGGCTGTTTGTAGGGCATTGCTGTGCGCAAACTGGGCTGCAGCGATCGTTAACAAAGATAATAATAATCCTTGCATTTGATATAGTGCCTTATCATGTCTTCCAGACGTCTCAAAATGTACAGAATATACTGTAAAGTGAATAGACTGTACATTTTGTGGACGAATGGAGACACCGTCATTGATTACACTTCACAGTGAGTCCTGTGAAGGTTTCTGAGCCCTTTGCACCCTGCTTTGGCTCAGTCTGTCTGATGGCAGGGCAGGGCAGCTGATGGCAGGGCAGGCAGGGCAGCTGATGGCAGGGCAGCTGATGGCAGGGCAGGGCAGCTGATAACAGGGCAGGGCAGCTGATGGCAGGGCAGGGCAGCTGATGGCAGGGCAGAGCAGCTGATGGCAGGGCAGGGCAGGGCAGCTGATGGCAGGGCAGGCAGGGCAGCTGATGGCAGGGCAGGGCAGCTGATGGCAGGGCAGGCAGGGCAGCTGATGGCAGGGCAGGGTAGCTGATGGCAGGGCAGGGCAGGGCAGCTGATGGCAGGGCAGGGCAGCTGATGGCAGGGCAGGCAGGGCAGCTGATGGCAGGCAGGCAGGGCAGCTGATGGCAGGGCAGGCAGGGCAGCTGATGGCAGGGCAGGCAGGGCAGCTGATGGCAGGGCAGGGCAGCTGATGGCAGGGCAGCTGATGGCAGGTCAGGCGGGGCAGCTGATGGCAGGGCAGGGCAGGGCAGCTGATGGCAGGGCAGCTGATGGCAGGGCAGCTGATGACATGGCAGGGCAGGCAGGGCAGGCAGGGCAGCTGATGGCAGGGCAGCTGATGGCAGGGCAGCTGATGGCAGGGCAGGGCAGCTGATGACAGGGCAGGGCAGCTGATGGTAGGGCAGCTGATGGCAGGGCAGGGCAGCTGATGGCAGGGCAGGGCAGGGCAGCTGATGGCAGGGCAGGGCAGCTGATGGCAGGGCAGGCAGGGCAGCTGATGGCAGGGCAGGGCAGCTGATGGCAGGGCAGGCAGGGCAGCTGATGGCAGGGCAGGCAGGGCAGCTGATGGCAGGGCAGGCAGGGCAGCTGATGGCAGGCAGGCAGGGCAGCTGATGGTAGGGCAGGCAGGGCAGGGCAGCTGGTGGCAGGGCAGGCAGGGCAGCTGATGGCAGGGCAGGCAGGGCAGCTGATGGCAGGGCAGGGCAGCTGATGGCAGGCAGGCAGGGCAGCTGATGGCAGGGCAGGGCAGCTGATGGCAGGCAGGCAGGGCAGCTGATGGCAGGGCAGGGCAGCTGATGGCAGACAGGCAGGGCAGCTGATGGCAGGGTAGGCAGGGCAGGGCAGCTGATGGCAGGGCAGGCAGGGCAGGGCAGCTGATGGCAGGGCAGGCAGGGCAGCTGATGGCAGGGCAGGCAGGGCAGGGCAGCTGATAGCAGGGCAGGCAGGGCAGGGCAGCTGATGGCAGGGCAGGCAGGGCAGGGCAGCTGATGGCAGGGCAGGCAGGGCAGGGCAGCTGATGGCAGGGCAGGGCAGCTGATGACATGGCAGGGCAGGCAGGGCAGGGCAGCTGATGGCAGGACAGGCAGGGCAGGGCAGCTGATGGCAGGGCAGGCAGGGCAGCTGATGGCAGGGCAGGCAGGGCAGCTGATGGCAGGGCAGGCAGGGCAGGGCAGCTGATGGCAGGGCAGGCAGGGCAGGGCAGCTGATGGCAGGGCAGGGCAGCTGATGGCAGGGCAGGCAGGGCAGGGCAGCTGATGGCAGGGCAGGCAGGGCAGCTGATGGCAGGGCAGGGCAGGGCGCAGACCAGACGCTCAGCTGTGTCCATGGTAACGAGGGTGGAGCAGATTACCCAGGCTGCCTCTCGCGGTACCGGCTCTGTTCAGCCATGGCGTCCATGGAAGGTGCTCTCAATGTATTCGGCCAGAGACACTCAGGGGAGTCGGTGCGGACACAAAACGGTGAGAAGGGAAAAGCCGTGCCGCGTGTGGTGGCGATTTCACACCGAGAGAGGAGGGCGAGCGGACAGGAGGGCGGGCAGGAGCGGGAGAGGAGGGAAATGGATGGAGGAGCCGGGCTGTGGGGCCTGGCCGCGTGAGAAGCCTGGAGCCCGGCTCGGAGACACGTGCGCGGTGGGGAGGCAGGGAGTGCGGGACCCGGGCCGCGTGGGGCAGAGAAGGAGAGGCTCGGCGTGTGCGGGGAGTGGAGTCGCGGGCGGCCGTATAGCCGGGGTCGGGGCTGTGTGCGGCGGGCGGGCGGGCGGGCGGGCGGGCGGCAGCAGCCGGTGACGGTTGGAAAGTTCCAGAAGCCGCGGCCCCGCCCGCCCGCCACTGGGCACTCAGCGGTTTAAATGGAGGAGACAAAAGCCATTCAAAAGGCTCTGGTGGACACAATCTCAGGACAGCGCCTTGACACCGTGTAATATATTTCATGTCTCCTCTCGACAGACCAGGATTTATTTTTCTTCAGAACGAATGATTTTCGATCTGTATTTTCTGCAGTCGTTTAACCGACCGATCTGGAGAATTGCTGTGGAAATGGAGATCTTTCCCCTCCCCCTCCCCCCTCCCCTCCCACGGATTCGTTTTCAAAATTAATGTGAACTGTGTTTTGTTTTCTGCCGGGAGTAGTTTGGGGGACGAAAGCTCTTCTCCAGCACCCGAGTGTCCCATAGCATATCCGTTCATTTTTATTATTCATAATAATACGATTGTAAATGCTGAAAATGCTGAAATTTAAAATGCAGATAAATTCAGGGTTCTCGCGTTTATATCTTCCACCTTGTGGATTTCAAATCAAATAAAACAGCTGGATTATAAAGCTGGATCTTTAAATAAAGACCTTTGTTTTCTCTGTTTTCTCCAATCCGTAGCTTAGATGTGAAGCAATGGATACTTTTCTTATGTATCCTTTAATGCAATTTAGACTTGGGACTCTTGTGCTGGAGAAGAGCTTTTATTTTCTTGTCTAAAGGGTCTTGAAGTTACGGAGAGAAAAGATCCCATTTTAGTACCGCTCATTTGAAACCACAGAATGGGTGGCTATGCTCATGGGAAAGAGAGTCTTTGCTATGTGTCTTGAGAAAGAAGGCGACTGTCTTTCCAGGATGACATGGCAGAACATTTCTTTGAAGCTTGATTTGCCTATTTTAGGGTAAGCATAATAATATAGCGTCTTTCATGTCAGGAGGACATCTCCAAATGCTTCACCGGGTTTACTGTAGTGACTATTTTGAAGGCAATCATTTTTTGTACAGTAATGTTTTATAGAGTAGATATAATTATAAAATACATATTTTCTATGTTTGCTTGACTTAACAGTGCCCGTACAAATGATTGAAAAATTTAAATTAAATTATTGTGGTCTACTTTCTTCCATTGGTTTAAAGCTATTTATAATATATTTCAGTGATGGCAGCAGCCTCCATTGCAAACATTGTGAAAAGCTCCTTGGGACCAGTTGGTTTGGATAAGATGTTGGTGGATGATATTGGTGTAAGTAATATTTGAAATAATATGTAATTTTTTACAAGCCTAAATTTTGTATATTTTAAGGTTTTGTCAAAGTGTTTGTGTATATATTACATATGCCACAGAAAATGTTCTTTGCAGCTTTTATAAATCATGTCTCCTTAGTGCAAAACACTTTTTATGGCATTAAAAATTAAATACACTACTGAGTATGTATAAGAATATACTTTGTCGTACATCAATGTCATTAAAAGTTGTACACATATTTAATGGTAGGACTTTTTACTATCTCTGGGTCTGAGGAAGAAATTCCTATCTGAAAAAAAACAAGATTAGCTGATTATTTTTTATATTACATCTGGAGAGGGTGGTGAAATGGCACTTACACAGAAACCCCTTTCAGTCTAGTATTTGAGAACTTAAAACACCATTTAAGTTTACTGTGAAAATGTAATAGTGATCTGGTGTCATTGTATCCAGAGAAACACCTAATGCTGTGATGCTGTCTTCTTTTTAATCTAGGGTTAAATTGATAAAACTTTGCAAGAACCCACTCCGTTTGACTAGCTTGTTTTTGTTCCTGACTTGCTAGTTGTTGCTTGTGGGAAGAATAATGCTGTCATTTATTAACATAGTGCTGAGTCTGTTTCTGCACAAATTAAATGACCGATACAGACTGTATACACTTTTTGATTACAGGTATTAATGTGGTATGACTAGTGCTCTAATCTCATTGTTTTTACCTCTGAAGTACACAAAAAACCCTTTCAGTCCTATTCCAGCTTTGGAAGACTTAAAGCACATCTATGAAATTGAGTCTCTGTTAGACTGCTGTTGGAAGTGAACATGAGCATAGCTGGCAGTTGGCAACTACGCAGATCTAGCAAATTCAAATCCTTACAAATGCTAGTCTGCTGGCAGAATTCAAAAATAAATGAGTTTAGTGCTACATCTAGTTAATAACTACTGCACATTTAAATGACAGTTTGACTTTGTCTAATCTGTGCTGGTTTTATAAATGGTGTAGAATTTCTAAATGAATTTGGGAATAACATCACAGTATTCTAATACTCATTGAACATAAATCCTCAGTTTTAAATTATCAGTGAAAAATCTGGCAGAAAATGTTTATTGAATTTAGTGCTGCGTTTTCAGCTTTTGCTTTATTTCTATTTATGCAATGTTTATAAATTTGTGTAGGATGTCACCATTACAAATGATGGGGCAACTATTCTGAAGCTGCTTGAGGTGGAGCATCCTGCTGCCAAGGTCTTATGTGAACTGGCTGAACTTCAGGACAGAGAAGTAGGAGATGGTACCACTTCAGTTGTAAGTACATTTGTGGTAATTGGCGACTGGTTGACTTGCAGTTAAAATTTATTTAAAAAACTCAACATTATTGACCAAGCAGAAAGTAGTGAAATGTAATTTGACAATAACCCTCAGAAATCTGGATGTTGCATAGTGCACATATTGATGCAGCATGTGGTTAGCAGCACTATAATCTTTAAGTGTGACATTTTTAAACTTATTGACACACATTTAGTGGAGACATGAATTTAACAAAAAATGCTGTTACTTTTGATGTTCACCCTGCCATTCAAAAGTGAGAAAGTAAATATTTGGTGAATATAATATTTAAGATGATGTACAGGCAGTATCATATCTAAATGGAGATGAATCAAGAAATGAAAGCCACTGTTCTAATATCTCTAATAGCTGTGTTTGAATCAAGTCCTGTCTCAGCTACGGCATCCAGAATAAGGGGGCATAATCTTAAAATTAGAGCAAGGCCATTTAGGAGTGAAATTAGAAGGCAGTTTTTCAAACAAAGGGTAGTGTAAATCTGGAACTCCGCCAAAAGGCTGTGGATGCTGGATCCATTCACATTTTCAAGATGGAGGTAGATAAATATTTGTTAGGTCAGGGTATTTAAGGGTCAGGGACAAATAACTGAACTTGAGGTACAGATCAGCCATGATCTTGTAAAATGTCGGAACAGGCTCGAGGGGCTGAATAGTCAGTCTACTGTTTTTCTCCCCAGAATTCTCATTTGGTATTTGCGATGCTTACTAGAACTGGCATTAAATCAGAAGGGTCCTGGATTTTTCTCAGTTTAAACTGAATTCAGTTAACGCAGCATTGACTTATTAGTTTGTCATGGTTTGCTTATGCAGTGGGGATTTCAGCTACTGTTCTTCTGATTGATGAAAACACACAAAAACAGACATTAGGATTGGGCTTGGTCATGATCTCTTCCCCTTCTAAAACATATTACGTGGTATAATCCATTCTGTTGTCCTTTGGTTTTACAGGTGATCATTGCTGCAGAATTGCTGAAAGGTGCAGATGAATTAGCCAAACAGAAAATCCACCCAACCTCAATTATTGGTGGTTATCGTCTTGCCTGCAAGTGAGTTCTGGTGCATAGTGATAAAGTTGTGATGCACGCAGAGGTCCCGTGGCTTAGTGGTTAGAGCACTAGGCTCGCATACGGGAAGACCTGGGTTCGATTCCCGGGCAGGGCGAAATGTTGGGCAAGTTTCCTTAATCCTACTTAGTAAGTAGGAACCCAGTTGTTAGTCAATTGGCGGATTGTTTTTCTGGGGGGAATAATCCCTTCAAAGAATAATAATTTGGTCACTCAATCCACGACTGTTTGTGGGACACTGCTGTGCGCCACATTTCGTCGATAAAAGATAATCAATTCACTTTACAGTATATTCTGTGAAGCACTTTGAGGCATCCTGAAGATATGATATGGAGCTATATCAAATGCAAGGATTATTATACAATAACTAGAATCTTTCTCAGATGTCAAACCTTGTGGGGATTGCCGTGTTCTATATGAAGTCAAATTGCAAGTAGCATAAACTTTCAAATGAAGGTTAAATTAGATATGAAATTTGGTGGCACTTGCAGCATTTTGTGTTGGTTTCTAAATTGAAAATTCCTCTGTTCAATAATAATTATAATATTAATCATAAAATCAAGTCTTTCAAGGCCATTGGTAATTCATTTTAATAAATATTTTTTTTAAAATTTCAGTCAAGAATAAAAATGTTACCCTAGAAAAGAAGGTGGATCATATGAAATTTTCCTCCACCTCCCCCCCCGCCCCCCCACTTCCAACCAAATAATCATAATACTTGCATTTGATATATTGCTTTGCACGTTTCTCTCAGCATCCTGGCCCAAAATAAAATCTGTGTTTCACTCTACGGTTGTTTGTAGGACATTGCTTTCCACAAATTGGGCTGCAGCGTTCATTAACAAAGATAATAATCCTTCCATTTGATATAGCGCCTTATCACGTTTTCTAGATGTCTCAAAGTGCTTCACAGAATATTCCGTAAAGTGAATTGACTATATTTGTGAGCGAAAAATGGCAGCCAATTGCACACAGCAGTGTCCCACAAACAGTCGTGGATTGAGTGACCAGATCTTTTTTAAGGATTATTATCCCTGGAAAAGCGATCCGCCAATCAACTAACAACCAGGTTCCTACTGACTGCAAGGTAAACAGAGGAGTGTGGAGTAAGGAAACGTGCCCAACGTTTCCCACTGCTGGGAATCAAACCCAGGTCTCTCGCTTACGAGGCGAGTGCTCTAATCACTGATTTAATTCCTGAGTCTATAATTGAGGGAACAACCAATACTCTGAAATATTGTCTTCTGTCTAGCCTAATGATTTGTAATAATTAATAATGGAAACTTTGTAAGAACCCACCCGTTTGGCTAGCTTGGCTTTTATCTGACTTGCTAGTTATTGTTGGTGGGAAGAACAATGCTGTCATTCATTAGCACTGTGCTGAGAGTCTATTTCTGCACAAGTTAAATGACCGTACACAGGTAAATAACATGAAACTCTTATTTGTCAGTTTTATTTTCCAGTTCAGTATTGGGGCAAATGACTAATTATCATGGGTTGGCTGCCTAAACATAATGTATGACTTAACAATGTAACTTCAAATATTTTGATTGGATTATTGCTCAAATAATCCTGAATCTGTAGTACATTTTTCAGTACTTTTTTTCTGCTACTGCTACCTTCGCATTAAATCAAGGACTTATTCTTTTGTAATGATACCCCTCAAGTCTGTAATTTGTCTGTATAGAAGCCTGGATGATGACTGTTGACATTGAAGGCAGATGTCCCATCAAATAGCTGATGAGGAAACTCTGATACTTGGGACAACAGCTGCTGGAAGGCGTAACCTGAATCCTGGGTTTATGAACCCAGCTTGTATATCCAGTGCTTTGTGTCCATCTTAATTGGTGTGCAGAGGTACACAGCTGATATTCCAACTTTGTACCTCCAACTGATGGAACCACACTCAATGGTTAGATGTCCAAACCATGTACAGGAGGACGGTGACAATGCTCTCATGAACTGTACTATTCCAGGAAGTTTGCAGGGTATTTCTGATAGCCTCTATCCACCTCGGGAGCGCTCAAACCTGCCTTTGTCGCATCTCAATTGACTAACTAGTTAGTGATTGTCTTTGTGGGAGATCCAAGAGGGATCTCCTTGGAGTTGACCTTGCTCCAGGGTGACATGCTTAGCAACAGAGTATCCGGATCAAGTCAACCCTCTGTAATATTCTTGGTAGTCTGGTATCGGCAAGCCTTGAAGGGCAGACTGGTTGGTCACTGGGGGAGCAAGGATTCTTCTCACTCAGCTCCTGTTAATTGCCAGC